TCATTTTCTTTTTATTTATTATTTTGGAGACCTTGTTTTTCAGCTAAAATAACAAACTCAAAGCACTGATACCGTACATGGTCATTTTGAAATTCAGTCTACTTTGTTGGGAAATGACATTGAAAACTTACTTTAGAACAATTTTAATCTATGAGCAGTTATTGCTCAGCTCGACCACATTTTTCACTGCCGCAGATTGTCGGTCAGCTCACATTACTCATTTCTTTATCAGCACGCTCGCTCAAGTTGCTGGCTTTTTTTTTCTTGTTGTTCCCCACTGTAAAACTTGCAGACAACTTTTCTTCAACAACTGTTTTCATTATTACCTTTTTTTTAGTTTAAGCCTTATTTTTTATTTTGTTTTTCCTTGTTCACTTCTCAAGGAGGGAAACGGATGTGCTCAGGCTGTCCGTGACATTGGATGCTGCAACACAGAGCAGTTTTTAACATTAATAAGCACTTTCAAGGACCTCTGCTTCAGCTGTTTCTAAGAAACCTTTAAAAATAAATCTGTCATTTTCCCTCTAAAGCTTAACCTCCAACAAAGAGCTAAGCATGCTGTGCATGATACACAAGGACACTCTATTGATGCATGAGTTTGTATGTGTTCTATCGCCCAACTTCTTTGAAGGAAGGCTGCCAACRTTTTGCAAACTCATTTCATTTGCCTCAGACAGTGGGTGACAGGCTTAAATGTTGCTGAACTCTTGCATCGTCTTTAGTCTCAGCTGAATTGAAAAAAATGGATGAACAACAACAAAAACAATTTAAGCAAAACAGGAAAGAGTTAATCCTCAGAAATATTTTAATGTCTAAAAACTGAATTAAAAAATATGTTCCACATTAGAAAATGCTTGTTTTATTACAACAGTTTGCTGTTAAACTCAGCAAGGGAGTTTGAGTGAGTTCACATGAGAAATTGTGATGCAACTGGTGCAGTGTTACCATACCGGGTTCTTTAGTGGGTTCAGGACTGGATGTTTTATCATGTCTAATGAAAAAAAGGGTACATAGGATGTTCCAACAGAAAATCTCTTATCCTTTCTTAAAATAAAAAATATATATATTACAAATACTGAGAGGAGAGGCAATAAACTGTCCGGTCAAGAGGAAAGTTTGCTCTTCCTTCACCTTTCTTTGTCCTTTTAAAGTTTCTTATCACCTTCTTCCTCTTCCCTTTATTTTGAAACTGATTTACAATCCACCAGGGGCGTTTGGCTCACACAGCTTGACCACACTGTGAATTATAGCAGGAGCATCAAGGGGCTGCACAAGCCAGCAGAATTCATTGGGAGGGCCTGATTGTGCAAGACCCCATTGATGTCTCACACTGACTTGGGTATAGCCAGGGGTCCTGGCATGGGGCCGAGACAAGACCAACGGAGCCAATTCAACTTACAAGAGAGAGCCAAAAGAATAACTGGAAACTGCATCAGCAAAGACCCTACAAAAAAAGAAAAAAAGAAAAAAAAAAGAATCAGAGAAACACAATTGGATCTTGAAAGAGTTGAAACAAAACTAGCAGAAGGTGAGCAATCAGGGTCAGAGTTCAAATACAAAGTCCCGAAAGCAGGCAGCGAAACAATGGAGCTTGTCAGAATTAAGTGTTTAAGAAAAACACCATGGAGGTGTCTCTGTAGGAGGCCCAATGAGCTCAGCAGGAAATGCCATTCATTCATCTGCTGCATGCAGATGCAACATGATTGAAGTAAAACCTTGGAGGTATTTCTTGGTGGGTGCTGTGTTACTCCTGGGTTCAGACTCATGTTTTAATAACAGCTGAGCTGTTCTTTTCTGTTGGGGAATCAATCTATCTTCTTTGGGTATAATAAATATACTGCACAGAAGACAGGAAGCAAAGGCTGCTTACCTGTGACTCCCTCTGCCATGTTGAATCTCATTCACTATGCATGCATAGGTGTAGACACAAAGAAAACATACATCAAATATACATCAGCATGCATTACTTTTAAGGCCATCTTTTCCAGTGCCGTGAGTTACATGCAAACATACTGTATTTTGATGTAATCCATCAAACCATTATTTTCCAACACCCCTCTTTCATGAAAATACATATTTTTTTTCACACATTTTTAATTTAGTTTTATTTTCAAACTAATTCTCAAAGGAGAAAAAAAACCCAATTAATTAATGTTGGATTAGGTTCATTGTCCCATCAGAGGCAATACCAAGAAATGAATGCAAATATTTTGATGACAGACAAACCTCAAGACATCACATTCCCTCCTGACACTTAATGTGATTTATTTGCATGTAAAAAAAAATTGAACAGTAACTATATGCCACTTGAATAAGTGAGCCACACCACTCTTATAATCAGCAGCAAACAGTGACATGTGCACAGTTGAGCTTGCTGTGCACTTGTTAGTTATCCTTTTCTTTTCTTCCAAAGGGCGAAACACATTTATGAGGTGCAGTCATTATGCAAGACCCAATGTGTTTCTATATGTGTGTGTGAACGCACAGCCCCCGTCCATTACATTCAGCATACAAAYATCTCTTCCAAACGCATCCGTGTCTGACTCATTGACAGCTTGTCTTCRGTCTCCTTAGACCTCATTTGCTCCGTATGTTCCTGTACATCTTCATCGCTCAGGCTCGAGCTCATAACAATTCTCCTGGACCCTGTTCTGGCAACCTCAGGTAGCGAGTAAATGAAGTTAATTTTAGAGATTCTCTCTGTGTCCTCAGCGTGCTCACTGTCTGCACAACAGGCCTGGTTCTTTGGTAACTGTGCTTCCAAAAAATGAAGGGTTGGGTGTTAAAATGCATTGCAGATGGTTGGTAGTAGAAATGTATGTAACTGAAACTTCTCCTCACACATCTGAAACCCTCACTGAAGGTAGTCACTTCCAAAAATTTACCCTCTTTTTTGTCAAGCCATTGTTGTTCCGTCTACACAGAATAATGATTGAACAATAAGATAAAAAGCATATATATATATATATATATATACTGTATATATATGTATCAGTGCGGATTATCTTTGCAAGGGCTTAGAGAGATCTTCAGGTGCACATAAGGATTACAATGAGCACCATATTGTGCAATAGTGTTTGAGCATGCTTACAACTATTGCAATGAGTTTGTGGTGACTAATTGTTTTGGTGGCAACTTATTGTGGTCCCAGTGGGAGAGTGGTGGTAGCATATTTATGAGGTGGAACCCACTAGTGGGGCTTTCTTGTCCTGAATTTTGAAGCAGGACTGGCCTCTTGTCTAAGCTGTAATTGTGACACGGTCATGGCAACAACCTAGCTGTGATAGCTGTGGTGGTATAAGGCATGCTGTCCCTGTGTGTAGTCGGATCCTGGTGGAGGCTTGAAGAGTCACATCAAAGTGTTTGATGAGGATGTAGGAGTTCTTCTCAGGGACAAAATAAAAAAAAGTAGTATTTGTTTTGTGCCAGTAATAATGTAGCAGCATCATGATTGCCTTTACACTAAAAGAGGCTTTCCAAAGTTGTGCAGTCCAGCCATGTTCTAATAGGTCACGTAGGGCACAACTGAGTCATCATAGTGTGAAGGTGGCGTAACTCCTAAAACTGAAACAAACACAAACAAAATCCATTTTCCAAAACTAGTTTTCTGTTGACCATTAAAGAAACAAGAGCAAAATTAGAATTTGTTTGAGGTCAAATTAGATACAAAGTAAATATCTTGTAGCTTTCAATTTATTTCAGCTCTTCTCACCAACATTTACATCCCATAAAACCCAGCCATTCCAGCTTCGCCCCACGCACATGTGAAAGCATAGTAATTAAGGCTGATTCATAGAGTGACTGTGGTGGTGATTAGCAAATCAAAGCACCATTATGTTACAATGGATAAAAGACAGCGGATGAGATATTGCATTATGTGTTAAATTATGTTAAGGGGTCTACATTCTGAACTGTGTTATTAGAGTAATCATATAAAAAACAACTTGTTGTAAGTTACAAAAATGTATAGGATGATAAAATAAGACAGAAGATTTTTACCAAATTCCTTTTSTTTTCACTGTGTTCTTGTTAAAATGATAGAACAAAAAATGACAAAAAAGTACACCTCATTGCACATTAGGGAAAATTATTACCTTTTTTCTGCACAGAGATGTAATATTGGGGTGAGTGAGCATTACCTCATTAATGTCTGCATCAATACAAAAGCAGACATGATAGACAGCTTTTATCCCACCTAAATGTGTGCCCCTCTCAAATGACTGGCACTGCTTTTTCAGGAAAGAAGCATGCAGTGACATGTCATAGCTGCAAAAAAAAAAAAAAAAAAAAAAAAACAACTTGGAGAGATTGTCACATTACTCACTGACTTTTAGTAGGAAAGAAAGGGAATCAACCTTTTTGCTGAATTAAACTGCAGTCGGAACTATTTTTAAAACTTGGTGCTGTAGGCAAAATGTCTACCTGCAGTGTCAGGCCAAAGTCTGTTCATTTAACGACAGATGGAGAAGTTTGCGAACGGAGGAAAAACTTTTGACAAAACGGGAAACTTTGATCATGTAGGAAAAATAAATAAACTACTTCATTTTTCCCCCCTGTATTTTTATTTTTTCTAAATAACCTCTTGGTTTTGCTCTGAGAGCTGTGATAAAAAAATTAATAAAAAAAATAACAAAACAAAACCCTACATTATGTTACAAATTATTGTGGAACATCAGACACTGTGTTTGAAGTACAGAACATAAAACATGAGTTTGGTTGTATAACACAGCATATACTTTATTTTCAGCTAAGAAACGTAACACGTACTGGCTGAGTATCTCCTCACAAACACATTATAGAATAATCCCAATATTACAGCTGGAAGTTTTCACCACCTGCAGGCTTRCAACACTGCCATCAAACAAAACTGYATTGGCCAAAAATAACTGATTTTGCTCTTCACTAATCAAATCATTGACTTTACATTTGTATATTTTGAAGTCAAAATGGTGACTAACTTAAATGTTCCACTGACAGATTCTCTCTTTTCTCCCTTTTAGGACTCAATGCTGTTTTCTTTAAACATCCATAATCCAGCGACTGTTGTTCTCATATCTCCAAACAATACACACGTAGTGCTCAACATCAGCACAGATGCAAAACTCTACGTAAGTATTGTGTTTGTTTAATCACTGTTTATGTTCGACTTCTTCTGGCTGGACATATATACTTGTGTCATTTTGTTATTGGAACTACAATTGATAGAATATAAGCTCATTAATTTATTTTATTAAACATTATTGAAAGAGTTATTATCTTATCTGTTCTTTAATCAGTCTGAAGAAACAGATCTTAAATTTGACTGAAGAATTAATCTTTTYGGGCTCAAATCAAAGTGGATTGCTACTGTCTTACAATAACTCTAGTTGTAAAACTTTCATATTAGTTCATGTGAATGCTATTTTATAAACATTTACATCAAGGCTATTCAACTAAATAGCTCAGCTCAGTGCCCTATACTGATAGGCTTCATTGTGTAAAGTACCATTTCTACCATTTCTTATCTTTTAATTATTTTATTGTTGTTGAAATGAATCATAAATTTAACATTTACATTTGATTTAAAATCATGTTTTGTAGTAAAAAAATATGTGTGTGTGTGTGTGTGTGTGTGTGTGTGTGTGTGTGTGTGTGCAAGGGGTTGGGAAGGGTTCTTGGATAGCCCTGCTTTCCAGTGTTGTCATTGTCACATTATAAGGTTCTGCGCATGGAAATTAAGATTATTTGTAAGCAAAAATAGAAGTAGCAGCTAGCTGCAACATTTCCTCCAAGAATAATATATTTTACTTACCGGAGTTACCTGTGGATACCAAATTGTTTACCTCAAACATCTGAWCTATCCTTAACCTGCATTTACCACATATTTATAAGCCGATTTTAGAGTTGATTTTAGCAAATTTGCCGGTTGCTAACACTTCAGCAGAAAATGTTTTTCTGTACTGTATAATTGCTTTAATTTTCTCCAGATTTACTGTCTAGTGCCAGCTGTTTTACATACAATCATGCTGACACAGCTGTGCAGCACTGCACGTCTGTTTAAAGAGACAAAAAAAAGTTGATTTTCTTTGGATATTTCCCCTGTGGCTTCATTGTGAGAGGCAGTTTTTGTTTTAGTGTTTTTACCATCCACACTATAAAAATAGTAAGAGATTCTTAGGGGTGGCCAATAATAAAGGGGGATGACGGTTTTGACAGTAAAAATTAATGTTCCAATGAAAAAGGAGATTCTGACTTTTATGCACTCCTCATAGATTATATATGTGAACTGAGTGCAGGAAGGCTGCAAAACCTTTTAATTAACAGCGATTTAAACAGCAGAAAGATACTATTATAGGTAGAAAGTWCTGAAGTAGTGAATTCTAGAAGAATAACCAAATATTGCTTGTAATAAAAAAATATTTTCTCTAAATGAATCACTTTTTTATTAACATTTATAAAAGGACAATCASCTCTGTAGACAAGGACATTTAAATTTAGGGCATTTTTTAATAAATACCTAAAGCAGACAATGCTTTAATATGCTTTAAAATGGTTACTAGTATTTTAAGTGACCAAAAGTAATGGTTAACGTGCCTATTACATAAAAAAACAGGTTGAAAACATTTCAAAAAATCCTAGTCAACCAATCAACGCGWTGACACGTTTGCAGCCCTGCCGATAATTACTGATACGCTGACAGCAGTGTGGTACCACATCCTGTATCATGTCCTGTCGAGAGCCTGGACAACGTCGCCTGTGACTGCAGGATGTTTTTGTGGGATGAGCTGTTATCACTGGGGGGATAATAGTGCTTTGCAGCAGATTGCAGTGGAAGTGAATCAACATCTGTTCAGCTTCAGAGAAAGTACGTCACCAGCTTGACAGTTTGCCTCAGTGTCACAGCTCCTCTTGGCCTCCCAAGGTTGACCTGAATACACAGAGTTGTTGAAAAAAAACATGCTGGATATGACCGTTTGCTGCTTGCCAAAGAATATTCTTCACATTTCCCATTATGAGAAGCATAATTACTTGTAATACACTGCAGCATGGTGAATAACACCAATAATATTGTGAGGAAATTTCTTCAAAATGACTGAMATTAGTATTTTTGGTTGTTTTCTTTTCATCCATCTTTTAAACCCTTCCCCATTCTGCTGTGACTTGCTTTCCTGCTCTTATGGTTGTAGTTCCCCTTCACACTATTTTTGATCCTGTGTCAATCAAATATTTATGCAGAAAGACAGATGACTCCCTCCGGCGTACTTGACTCACACCATTTGTTCTGCTTTGTGACACGAAGGCGTGCACATAAAATGCTCATGCGCAGGCCAGGTTTTGCACTTTTTATAAAATGAGACAGCGTGCACACTTCGTGATCTCTAACAGAATGATTTGCAGACATCACAGGAGTTCTTTTTTTAATCATTATTTTAAGGCATATTYTCTCCCAGTACTCAGGCTTATGCTTTGTTTTGCAGTGAATGAAATAGATACTACATAAGATGTTGAGTCCACTCAGCATCTTGGAACAAACAAAGGCTGCTCAAAGTTTTATTCCTTTTTTGAGATTTCTAATGCATTTGGTTAATGATGTCATTACAAAAAAATCGGAATTTTCTGTAGGTTTGGTCTAATCCACAGAATTTCAGATTATACTTACATGCTCAAATATGTGTATCCCTTACAAGTTACACCCTGGTTACACACCTTTTGTAGCCATCAATAAGCTTCTAACACACTTCTTGGCAGGTTTTTGGCAGGGACCTGACTTTTGAGCACAGCCCACAATTTTTCAATGGGACAAGAGGTCAAGAGTTTTGGGAAGGCCATTCCAGAAGGGTTAAGTTTGCCTGACTTATTCATTCAGAAACTAGTTTTACTGCAAGTAGAATCCTTGACCAATTGGAACACACAGTTGTGTCCAGATTTCAAGCTGTTGAGCTGAAGCCACCTTGAACAATATTGGGGTAGTCCTTCTTCTTCATCATCCTTTGCACTGTTTGCAGTGCACCAGTACCACATGTAGTTACCACTGTTCTGCACAGCTGGTGCAATGTTTTCAGAACTTCAAGCTTCTGAACATRTGTTTTGACCAGAGCTTGAGTCTTATTGGTTCCTGGTTTGTTCCCGATCACCCTAATGAATTTATTTTAATTTGATAATAATGATGTTTATTTATAAATCTAAAAAGTGTTGTCAAAAAATCAGGTTTTGTTGAGAAAGAGAAATTACTGGCAACAGTCAATCATGCAGTGTTGTATAAAGTACCACAAAGTGATACTTTAGTAAAAGTACAAGTACCTTACCAAAAAATTACTTTGGTAAAAGTTAAAGTCTCCTGTAGGGATATTACTTAAGTAAATGTCTTAAAGTATCTGATATTTTTTGTACTTAAATATTAAAAGTAAAAGTGTTGATTTAAAATGAGCAGTTAGATTTTCTGTAATGACATTTATTAGAAGATGACCTTCTTCCAAAAATTTCAGAAATGACTATATCGTGTTAAAATAATTAATTTATGTTAAATTTAGGATGCACTAGTCCAGCTGTTTCAATTTATATACGTACATACAAGGGCTGCCCAAACCTTTTCACCAAAGCTAAAATCTATCCAAGGGCAGTGACCAAATGCAATAATATAATTCATGAAATACAAATGCTTCTTAATTCATAAGAAGTACATACAAATACTTCTTAATTCATGAAATAAAAATACTTCTTTAGTCCTTTTCTTTTAATGGTTATGTCCTGCTGGAGTGTGACATGTTTATGTCCTGTACAAAATAATACAGTATCATAGTTTTATAAATTTATACTTCTCATTCAGCCACAATTAAATTCACTCTAACTGGGAGATACAGTTTATATGGATAGTATTTTTTTACAACAACAAGCTGGAACGAAAACAAGCAAAAATGAAATTAAAATAACAACTTTCTACTGCTTGCCTTTTAAAAAAATACAAGAAGTAGAAAGTACAGATAATTGTGTGAAAATGAAAGAAGTAGAAGTAAAAAGTAGGCTGAAAAATAATTACTCAAGTAAAGTACAGATACCCAAAGATTCTACTTAAGTACAGTAACAAGGTATTTGTACTTAGTTACTTTACATCTCTGCAATCATGATCATATACTGTATGAGCCACAATGTCAATGTAAATACATTTTAGAACCTTCAGAGTAATTAAAAATAGGTACACACATACAGACATGCATAATTAAATGCTTAATATGCCTGAAACAAGATTTTAGCCCTGTGTGGATTAGAGCAAATTCACACCAAATTTAAAGTTGTGCATCCATATATTGCTTTTTAAAAATTAATGAAGTTTTAAAAATTAATGTGTGGTCAGTATGGTTATGATATTCTGGCAACAGCATAAATAAAATTAGTTATTAAAACCTCCGCTTTATTCTAGACATTTGTGCTCATGMGTGTATTTAAAGTTCTGACTGCAACTGTGTCTAAGACATTCTGTTTTATTATTCAAAGATAACTGAACACAAACTCTATTATTTCCCATTGGCTCAGACGAGGAAACTGCAGTGTCTAGTCGATGGGATGGATGTATATATTTATACCTTGTATGGAGACAAATTCCAGTCGACCCCGGTGACGCACAAAGCTAAAAAAGGTCCCATTTCCTGGCCCCAGTCAGGAAGCAAAGGAAAGACCTTGGCTCCAACAGGGTTGTGCAACCAGGCTCGTGGACACTTAACCATAATAAACATTTCTTTTTAACTAAACCCTGCTCAGAGAATAGAAGGACAGTAGGGTGGAGGATAAGAAAAAAAGGAGAGTGGGAGGACAAGAGGTGGAAGTGAAAGCTTCGAGCCTAATGTGAACATGTGTGAAGTTAAATCTCCTCTGCATTATTGAATCAATATAAATAACCTAAATTCTGTTTTGTGCTTTTGCTTTTCAGGTACAAAACTATTCCTCGATTGGGCTGTATGGCAATTTTGGCAATAACAATGTCCAGMGGGAACAGTTCCCCACTGAATACGAGGAGCTGGTCAAATGGGCAGAACAGAGGTTTGGGGGTGTGACTTCATTCACAACTGTTCGAAATCCAAAAGAAATCACCCTCAAAGGAATGAAAGGTGAGGCATATTTATTTACCTTGGTATATATATACGTATATACATATACACACACACACACACACACACACNCACACACACACACACACACACACACACACACACACACACACACACACACACACACACACACACACACACACACGCAAAATATACTTTATTTTGTTGTATTAATTATTGTATCTGGTAAGGAAATCATTTGTGTAAAATAACAGTGGACAGTCACAGAAATCATAAAGTCATAGAAAAATAAAGGACAATGCAGCCAYTCTGCAAGCACTTTTGGCTACCTGAAAGTGTTTCAGGTTTATCAGCTTTGGCACTTTTTTCTTCTCAGAAATGCTATCTGCATCTCTGTTTGGTCTGAAACTGCATGTTTGGTGCTGAGGAAAACAAAGTAATTACAGTCGGTACTCTGAGAGTCTGCAGTGTGGTACTCAGAGATGGATGTGGTGCTGTTTCCAGCGCTCATGGATAACATTCATCATCAGAAACTTTTTCTTATCCTAAGTATGCATTTAAATCCATTTTGATGCACTCACAGAACAAAACGCTATACTTAAAATTTCCCATCGATACACTAAAACATGTTATTTAAAAAAAGTTTTCATAAGAAGAAATCTCTGATTTGAAACATTTCCAATTTCATTCATRGGACTGCAATCAGAAAAGTTCAGAGCTACATAAGAACCAATTTTAGAGCATTAGAATACATTTATACTGGTGAGGTTGATTAAAAAAGAAATTAATTTTCGAGCAAAAATCTTTGCAATGGAAAAAATGCTGGAACCTCAATTGACAGATCATCCTCTAATTATACAAATAAAACCTATTTTTCTTATGAGCTGCATTTGAATTTATCTTGTGCTTGCATTACTGCAGTCAGAGATGTCACTGTTGAGATAYTGTGGTTGTGCGTGTTTTTGGCTCAGTTGCAAAGTGAAGTAATAGATAAGAAAAAAAATCATCACAAAAGGGATGGAGTGATTTTTTAAACAGAAATGTAGAAGAATCCAAATATATTAAGAAATAGTATCTATGGTGATAACAGTTGGAGATAGTAGGTGTTTAGACACTTGTTTTGGTTATATTTTTACTTCGGAACACGTCTACTTTTGTGGTTGTAGGCTTACGTTTTAGGAAGAACATTTCAGAGCTCATGGAGGGATGAGAGCAGCCAAGTTCCTGTGATTCATTACACCTGTGGGAGCATTTGATAAAGTGACTATTGAGTTAGAGCTGAGTCCAAGTCATCTGGAGATGACATTATAGGTGTCATGAATGGTGTGTGGGGCCCAAATGCAGGCAACGTCCAGAAGCAGGCAGGCAGGAAAATAAATCATTTGTTTAAACTCTATCATTCAACCTAAACTCATCTTAGGACATACTGTAAGGAACTAACAAATCTATGGGCTGCTGATGACAGGGATCTGGCAAATAACCAGGTACCAGATTTGCAAGTGAGCTGAGTTAAAACTGGTGTCTTGTGTTACAAAGAGACAGGATGTARTCTAACTTAGGCAAACTACTTTATAAAAATCAAACGGAAGGATAGGTACAGGAAAGTAAAACACTTACAGCTCATGCACACAAACCATTCATACAGAAAATAGGACAAAGTTGAACAAACCAAACGATAGAAACCACAAACCAAGACAATTAGGCCCAATGGTACAGGTGTGGGTGCTCATGAAAAATACAYATTACTGGAAAACAACATATGGCAGAAGTAAGCTGTCAAGCTTGTACCCTGATTTTCAGGCTTTGACCACCGGAGACAAATATTAGCTCCCATCAACTCTGCATACAGAAGTGGTTAAAGAAAAGGGAATGGATGGATGGATGGAACGTGCAAAAATCTGTACAGGAAGAAACTCATACTTAAAATAAAAACAAAAACATTTTGCATCTGCAAGCCTGGCACTGTCAACCTCACAGTCGGCAATTTGTGTGTAAATAACTGTACTATTATACGAAGGAAAATTGGTGTTTCTGAGTTCAAAAGTTCCCAAACTGGGTAACTGACAACAAACATAAACCCATAAAGAGCAGAAATAGTCCTATATTTGGAGGATCCTCAGTTCAAGCCAGTTTGAGTTTGTGGTGAAATTTCTTTTACTCAAGACACTATTTAGCAAATTAACATCATATCTAGAAGTCGTTGACTACTGAGCCACAGATAGAGGCTCTAAAACATTTCAATTCAAAATGATCAGTCATGGATGAAAAAAAGGTTGAAAATACTTTTATTAAGGACAACAGGTTGCTTCCTCTAGACACAATTATTTCAGAGTAAAACCTAAATGCAGTCTGAGCTAAAGCTTAAACTGTGATAGCTGCTCTTATTTGACCACTTTTTTAAACTTTTGCTGTCAGCATTTTCGAGGGAATTAAATCTTAATCTTTTTTTATGAATTTTTTTGTCCTTGTCCCCATCAGTAAGAGACAAACCACATTCAACTACCAAGTCTTGGATACTTTCCTTCATGTGTGGATCAGTTTCCTCAACATTCATGTTTCTGTAAAACCGATAGCTTATTTTTAGAGTCTCTGATCTCTTAGTGACACTGTATAATACTGTATTCATTTTGTTTTCTATAACAATGTGATTTGTGTTCCAACAGTCAAGAATCACCAATTAAACATGCATTGTTTGTGGTTTTACAGGAACCAAACCAGGTCCTAACAACTGTACGCTCAAAAGTGAAGACGTGTCAAAGAAGCACTTTCTGAAGCTCGACACAGACCTTTCTTTTTTCAAATCTTGCACCCCAAATCCACAAAGTCCTGGCAAAGATGAGCTTCATATCATAAACATCCCAGAGCGTTACAACGTTAGGTAAAGCTTGCTCTTTTTACAGCACAGTTTTTTTTCTGTTTCTTGTTGGCTAAGTTTATCTTGTAATAATTTTACATTTTGCAGCAATGTGTTCTTGCTTGTAAAGACACTGAAGACCAGTGTGTTCCTGAGAGGCCCCCAGGGCACCACATGGACCATCCTCGATTCACAAGTAGCCAAGTTTGCTGTAAGTTTACTTCTAAACGCCGGTAATTCAAAGCATGAGTAGGACATGGTTCAGTACACAAAACTTTTAAATCCCATTACTTTTGAAATGATGATACAACTCAAATATACAGTACAATGCATGAAAAGCTGTTCTTTTTTGTAAAACCATTACTTWTTATTGAGTGCATGTAAAGATGATTCTACGTTACCACCAATTTCAGCTTGTCCTCTTTTGTTCTGCAGTCCAACAATGATGTCATACTACCTGCCTTCACACATAGAATCAAATCGATGTACAAAGGTACACTGAAGGGTGATCTGGCAGAGGATGTGCAGAAGATGGCTTTAAGTTATTTTAAAGCCACTGGTTTCACCAGCTACACAGAAGTCAACGTAAATGAACCCTCTGTTTTCCTCGTTCTTGGAAATGAAAACAACTTTGGAGGTACGAACACAGTAATGTAAAAAAAAAAAAAAACCAAACATAGCAACTTAAAAAAAACATCCCAAAGAAAGAAACACACTTAAAGGGCTAGTTCCTAGGAAAAGTTGTAATTAATATTAAATAATATTTTATCTGTATTTACCTTAGCTCTTTGAATAACTCATGTTTTGACTTTGAACTTTGAACCAGACCAATAAGCGAAC